TTCGCACGATCAACATGAAAGGGGCCGTGGCGAGCGCGCCGTGCGCCGCCGACGGCTATACGCCGTCTCCCGACCAAAACACCTTCTCCCTCGGCAACTCCAGAACAACTTAACATGAACATTATTTTGAGGCAATTTAAGACATAAACACACGGACGAATATGATCGTTACTGAAGGCAATAGAACATGACCCGAGGCTGCCCGTGGCCACGCGCGATAAGCGCTAGCGACGGCTTGAGCCACTTCATCGTTAGAACATCATTTTGTCTCGACTAACATGGACTTACTGGACATGAAATAAGCTAAACTGAACAATTAAACGTAAATAGTTCGAGAGTTGCCGGGTAAAACGAAAGTTATTTGGTCATGATCTTACTTAAGCATAATCGGACTTTAGCACGACTTTACTAGAAATTCTCGCACATGATTCGAATACTTAACCTTAACATGACCTTACTAACATGAATAATAGCTGAAGAGAACGTTACCTCTTCGATTTCTCGGCGGAAAACGAAAGATGGTGTGCTTATTCGTCCTCGTGTGCGCCGTGCGATGTTGCTACCTTGCCGTGCGGGTTTAATGGAAAATTTAGGAAAATTGCTTCAATTTATTGCTGCTGAAAGTGGGAGTATATAGGAGGAAATATGCTGATTATGTCCTATAGGAAAAGTGCGGGAAAATTTCATCCAATTACCTCCTTATATACACGGCTTAATTGGGAAGTGGGTGACGAGGTGCAACCGTGGCCTTCTCCATGGCTTCCATTTGTTAATCAAGTGAAAAATGATGTGGTGACTAATGATCTCTCCTTACTCTTACTAATGCCACGTAGCTTGAGCCAAAATGAGGAGAATTTTGCTTACCAATGGATGAAGGAACTTACGGTATTTGAGTAACTTATTTGGACAAGTCCCAATTGATTTTAGCAACTAAATCCCCACGGCAATTTGGGCATTTGCACTTCTTAATATTAACTAACCTTAATTAGTTAACAATAAATCATTAAATCATGTTTAATTATTTAATTAAACATAATGCTTAATTACCAAAATTATTCCGAACGTAAACGGTACGTCGAAAATAAATTTCGGTAATCTCGACTGAAATAATTAATTCCGAAAATAATAAAAGATAACAATATTATATCGGAACTAAACATAATTTATACCGATAAAATATTGGGATATTACAGATTATTGGGCACACTACAATAAAATGATAAAATTCCAATGGAAATCTATTCCGAAAGAAATTATTCCAACGACAATTCCAACGGATATTTCAATACTATTATTTCCGTTAAAAATTTTCAATGGATTCCAACGGAAATTCCAACAAAAATATTTCGTTGGAATGAATTTTCCATTGGAATTTCCGTTAGATTTTGACGATTCCAACGGTGATTTTTCAACGGGGTGGAAATAAAAATTCCAACAGAATTTGCATATTCCAACGGAAATTCCTACAGTAAAAAAACCATTGGAAATATAGCAGTTGAAATCATCAAATTTCTAAGAGTGACACCCACTCTTGTTTATTGTCATGACAATATAAATGAATATTTATCTAAAAAACTTAATCTTTGAAATGTAATGATCGTGTGTTATTTTTTAATTTCGTGATCGATGGACTCTTTTATTATTTAGTTGGTTTGAATCAATATATAACAAACTTTGTTGCCAGTCGTTATTAGAGTTTTTAAATTAATTTGTGTAAATGCATAAATAAAAAGATACCTAAACTATGAAAATTTTTCATCTTTTGAAATCAAATAATGACAAACACTATCTTTTAAAATAAATAATGATAATGATTATAACATTGTATTATCAAAACTGATAAGGTATATAAAATTCGTTTTCCTTTTTAAATTGATAATGAAGAAAAAAATCTAATTGGTGAATAGATGATATATACAAATCATGCTTTTAGAAATCTGATATATACAAATCTTAGCATGCGGTTTCAACTAATTTAATAATATAATAATAGGCTAAATGAATTATAATTCAGATTCATGCAAAGAAAATTTTGAACAGATTTTTAAAATCATGATATATACAAATCATGATTTTCCTTGGAGATTTATTCAGATTTCCAAATTGTTTGGAAATCACGATTTCTAAAATCATGATTTATTCGAATTTACATTCGGATTTCTAAATTGTTTGGAAAAATATGAGATTTATTCAGATTTTAAATCCTTATTGGTTACAATCAAAGATTTAAATAGCGGGCTATCGAATTTAGCTGCACCATTTTCTGGCCGCTATTTCGCGCTATAGCGGCGCTATAGCGGCGCTATCACCGCGCTATAGCGCCGCTATAGCACCGCAGCGTTGCATTGATGGCGCCGCTATAGC